ATATATTTTAAGATTTATTTATTTACACTTACAGGGGTACAGGCCAGATGGGTAGTGGGTGAGAGGATCTACCAGAGACAGAGTGGGGAGCAGAACAGGCAGATTGACAAAATATACTGCTGAGGGTAGCAGCGGGCAGGTCAGGAGAGGTCTGCCACACCATGTGGGTCAGCTCCCTGGTGGGGATCGAACTGGTGCTGCAGTGGCTTCAGAGTGCTTCATAATGCAGTGCTTTAACCTTTTGTGCTACCAGGGAGAGTCCAGAGTTATCTTTTAAAGCTCTGTATTTGTCTTTATTGGCCATGAGATTAATAGATATGTGATATTGGGGGAGGGCAGGAAAAAGACTTACATAGTTGGATGGAGCACAAAGGTGTCCACAACAATACCCCAACAATATGACATGAATAATTTCAAAATCATATTTGATTTCTGTTTCTGGGAGGGTGGCGTAAGTACACTTCTTCCTTTCTACCACTTTCCTTTCTAGCAAAAACTGCACATTATGTAAAAAACAAACCTGAGAATGAAGTGAAGAGAGGAAGACAGATTGGTTAGCAGTCTCAGAATGTAAATTAACACAATAAGCAACTTGGGTTCTTTTTACCTTATATATTCCAGACTAGGCACTGGAAGGCCAGTATTCCAGAAATGCCAATGGGCTGACAAAGAGAATACCAATACAAAGGTCACTCTTTCTAGCAAAAAAGAACCAAGAAAGGAACAATCTAGTGCAAGAAAGCAACAAGCACTACTGGAGTGCTAGCTAGGGCTGGCTAGCTGAGGCTTTGGAGACAGATCCAAGAGTTGAGAGTCATGGGCTCAGAAACATTATTAAATATCTTTCTTTGGGGATTCTTGGGTCCTTTCTGTAGTTTGAATTCAGAAGATGAACTGAGGGTGCAATAAATGTTCCAATCTGTTAAGGGCTGGAGAGGAAAAGACTCAAGGATTCACCCTAAGGAAGGACATGATTTCAAAGAAAGCAGTCAGTTCAGCTGTGAAAGAGCAGAGGTGTGGCTCTGAGTGCCAGTGGCCCTGAATGCTGCAGGATGCAAGGAGGCTGAGAACTCAAGGAAGCACTTTCTGGAACAAAGAAAGAGAGAACTGAGAGTTAAAAGATGTTTTAAGAGTTTTGGGAATACTAAAAGAAATCAGGAAATGTAAATATTGGCACTTTAAAGATGTAAGAGCTGACATACAAAAATTAATCAAGAAAACTCTCACGTGATTTCAGAGCTGATGGACATCATTCCCTGTACATTTAGAGCATAGAAGTGCATGAAGCCAATCTATTAAAAAAATGAGAGTACAAAACTATGTCAGAAGACAAGCATCTTAGATGCAAATGTGAACATAATTATTAAACTGCTAGGAAATGCCAAAGTCAAAACTCAGTACTTACTACTTTATGCAACTTTTCTTGACATTCTGGTATTTTTATCTTGTAGTCACCAATTTCATTACAACTATTAATTTATCTTTAAATATATAATTTTTATAATTTGACAGTCTGAAAATATAGTGTAAAATATATTTTATAATGGAAATGGGAAATAGCAAGATATGTGCAAGTAGCCTGCTACTGGTTATTTTCCACATTTTTAAATAAAGATTTATTTATTTATGCATACTGGGGTACAGGCCAGAGGTGTAGGTGTTAAGTAAGAGGATTCACCAGAGACAGAGTGGGGAGCAAAACAGGCAAACTGACAAAGTACGCTGCTGAGGGGAGCAGTGGGTGGGTCAGGAGAGGTCTGCCGTGCCATGTCGCGCCATGTGGGTCATCTCCTGGGCTGGGGATCAAACTCAAGCTGAAGTGGCTTTAGCTTCTTAGTGCTGTGCTTTAACCCACTGCACCACAAGGGAGGGCCCTATTTTCCACATTTTTACCTAAATTGAACCTTTCCATCATCCTGTGCTGTAGATATGGAGGTTATTAGCATTACTGTTGTGCAGAAAAGGAACTGCAAATTCTTGGGAATTATTTTTTCAGGGACCTCCAACTTAGGCATATATAATCAGAACTCAAACTCAAACTGATTCCTTGCAACTTTCCATGGCATATTTGTTTTATTAAGATTCTGTGTGTAGTAAGTTATTTGTGAAAAGACTTAGTTGAAAACTGTACCCGCCTACTTCATGTACACTGTTCCTACTCTAGCTTGTGAAAATGGAGAGACAAGGTTCACCTATTTTGACCTCAACAAAAAGGGTATCAGTTGCTTTACTCAGTGTGCCAAGAGAGAGAAAAACTTGCCATTGAACTCCATGACAAAAAGAAGTGAACTCTGATCTTCCATTATAATGGAGATTTCAAAGTTAAATATGATTTTGAGTCAACATATTTCTGATATTATTGAAAGGGTATTGCAATTTTCCTGTTTTACACAAAAAAAACTGAAATTAAAAAAAAGGGGCATTAAAAATCATAATTTTATTTTTTTTCAAAGAATATGTACTAAAAGATATTTAATGAGCAAATATTACAGCCATTTTAAAAAGCCATATGTTTATAAGATAGGTTTCTCTAAAAAACAGAGAGAAGTCTTGCTTTTTTGAATGTTTGATTTGCACAAGAGACTAAAATACTCTTACAAAGAGCAGTTTTATAATAACTGTTAAAACATTCTATATCAAGGCACATCAGACTCAAATATTACAATCTGCAGAGAAGATTGTACTACTGAGGTCTGGATAATCATCATCATCATTTTCAAGTTCTTTATCATGTTTTTCTGTAATACATTTGCCATGTGCTTTTTCTGGGTTTCTTTTTTTCTTGCGAATATACGATGAGGTATTTTTCTCTTTGGGATATGAGTGAGTAATTTCTCTTTCCAAAGTGTATTGTAGGCAGCTGTAAAACCTGTAAAGAAATAAGTATAGTTATAACTGTGTGTTCTGAAACTCAATGACTAAAGTACACAGAGAATCATATACACATAAATCATATAAATTTGAGATATTAATCTTAAAATAGAAAATGAACCAAAGAAATAAAATATGTTTTTATGGCTGTTTAAAATTAAGAAAATAAATTTGCTTTCAGTTCTTTAAGAACAGTTCTGAAATTACATTTTAATCATCTTTTGACAATCTCTATCCTACCTTAATTTCTATTCCACACCTAGGAATCAAACAAAGAAAGTAAAAAAAAAAAAAAGCAGTATTTTTTCTTCATAAAAAAATCAAAATAGAAGTTAATTTTAGACAATTTTGAAACTATGAAGTTATAAGTACAGATCACCTCCGCATACCTACCTGAAAACAAACATGACATTTTAATTTCTTCACAGTTTCTTAATGTTTTCTTAACTAAGGGATTTTACATGTACACACATACCACTATACTTTATACAATCATGATATTGCATGTAAAGTTTCAGGTTGTTTTTCCAACTATTTATTGAAAACATTTTCACATCATCAAATAAACTACAAAATAGCACTTTTTAATGCTAGTATAGCATGATGTCATCTACATTGGCTTGTTTTCAAATTTTCCCTCAATACAAACAACATGCCATTTTTTTTTTTTAAAAACAGTGTGATCTGCTTTTCCAACTATTTCTTTAGTAGAGATAACTAGAGATGTAGTTATATGGTTAAAAGGGTATGAACATTTAAGGCTCTCAATAAATACTACCTGTTTTCCAGGAAAATATGTTTCTAACAGTTTGAGAGACTATTTCACCCTTACATTGAATGTTACATTGAATGTTAACAGTGTTTTGTGGGTGACAACTGGTATCTCATTATTCTCATATTCTTGGCTTACAAGTGAAATGGAACACTTTACTTATGAGCTATTGAATTTTCATAAATGTAAGCTTTTTTCCTACTTATTTTTCTGTGGTGGTTCAGGGTCAATTTTGTGAAAGAATAAACCATTTGCTTCCTGAAAATCAGGTTCTAGTTCCTTTCTCCTCACATTAACACTTAACTAACACCCCACTACCTGACAGAGTAGCCTTCAGTATACAATGAACGCAGGAAGGAGGGCAGTGAGCCACGTGCATCAGTAACTGTGCCCCTGGGGCTGCGACAGCTGCCTTTGGTTATTCCAACCTCACTAGGTCTGTTTCTTCATTCATATTATCCTGCATCTTAGTGGGGCTGTCAGAGGGCTACAGGTGATATATGCAAGTAACTAGCACCATTCCTGGCAAGAGTGAGTCCTCCATGAGATCAAGCACCCCACCTATCTTGGCACGTGGTACACTGTTGACACACTTGGTAAAAATATGCCAAACAAGTGATAAACTATTGACAAAAAAAAGTAAGTACTTTTATATTATCCAATTAGAATGATCTGGACATTGCAAACTCCCTTGTCATTGTCAGGATCTCATCATGCTCTTTTGTTCTATTATAATGGGAAATCGTGACAGGAAATCAATGCTGTATGGACCAATTTTTTCCTTTCTGTAATTCAATGAACAGGCTAAGATCTACTTGCAAAGGTTCTGAAACGGCCCTAAAAATCTGATATACTCAGCTATCCCACACACTCCATACAACTCTAATACATATTTAATGTGACAATTGGGCATCTTGTCCATATTTCAAGAAATTATGCCCTCACTATGTATACCACGATATCCAGGAACATGCTTGGCACATGATAGGTGCCTAGTAGATACTTCTTGAATGTGTAAATCAAACATAAAGAGAGAAGTACTAAAAGGAAAAAAAGCATAGTGAAATGAATAGCAAAAGGCATTGAAAGGTAGTAGCTGAAAGGTAGTACCTATTTCTTCACAATAGGTAATTTTTGGACTCTGTTCCATAATGGCAACCTTTTCACTTAATGTACACTTTTTGTCCTTAACTGAAATCCACCCCACTTTTCACTCCCACGGCCCTGTCCCTCAACCTCTCAACCTCCCTACAAAGACACTATCTGCCCTGCATTGGTCTCAAGTGGAAACTACTTACTCTTTCTACATTTTACCTACCAGAGTTGAAAGATGAGATCAGAATTCATCAGACTTCCACTGGTTCACCAATACTTGGCATCTAGTAAACTCCTTTATCTGCCCCTCATATCATCTTCCAGTCTTCTGTTTAGCCCTTACATTCATGAAAACGTATATACTTCGCTTAGTCATTCTTTCTAGTACAGTCATCGTCGTGAGTGACTTCAAGAACTGTTTTCTTCTCCTTTTTCATCCTGCCTATGTAGAATGACTTAATAATCCACTAAAATGATTCCTTTTTTCTCCTAAAATATAAATCCCAGCCTGCCATTAAATGACGCCAATCACCCTTACCGTAGAAGGCTACCCTGATATGCAACTTCCTCTCCTATCACTCTCCACCCCAACCTGCACCAGAAACTTAGTAATCAAATCCTTTTTCTGAATTACACTTTAGAAAATTAAAGATAAGTTTAAATTGCTCTTTTATGATCACAGGGAATAAACAGTGTATAAATTGTCTTATAAATCACACAAAGAGTTAATTAAAGAAGAAACAGGTGTCTTACTTTAATCTTCTGATAAAAAAGCTAAGAATTCAAAACTACATCTTTGTGGCACCAACAATACAACTGGTACAATGGTACAAATGGAACAAGACTTTTGTGCTAAAAGCTTAGATGCTTTTTCTTTAATAAAGAAACTTACAGAAAGTCTGTAGAGAAACTATCTTGTTCAATAAGCAGAGATTTATTTTCCAGTTACAGTTCTTCCCCTCATACTATGACCCTTTACACAATATTCTAAAGCCCATTTCTCCAAGTATAATTTTTTCTGCTCTCCCAGGCAACAAAAAGAATGCAGAAAACAAAAAGAAGTGTATGCTTAGGCAACTATTTTCCTCTATCTCCTCAAAATCAAATTTCCTTCAGTATTTCTACTTTTGCAGTCAAGATTATGGCACAGGGCATCTTGAACTTAGTTCTCTTCAAAAAAATTTTCAATAGAACCCTGAGAAAATGAATTCTTGTTTTTTCATGTCAGTTAGAGGCCCACTTGCAAGAAAAAGCTGGTATTTGTTTGACTTTTGAAATAGGGAAACTGAAATTAATGAATCCTAGACAAAACTTCATGCCCTTTTTAAGTTTCCCTTGTTCACAAGTCTTAAAGAAGCTGTTTACACACACACACATTTTATATATCCACATACACAAGTATGAACACTTCTATATGAATGTATACTTACACCTATATGTACACACACATATTTAATTTAATTAAGAGGAGGCATTTTTTCTAAACAGCCACATATTGACCTGTGCCAGGTTCTAGAAACAGATGTGGTTTGTGAGGCATTCAAAATGTGAAGGGGGAGGCAGGCTTTGCACAACAGATTATGGTGGAGGACTATGGGTATTCTGGTGGCAGGAGAACTATGTTGACTAAGGGGAGAAATTCTATACTCTCAAAATATTAACAAAGATGTTTGTCAATGGAATTTCATTAATAAGAAAACACACACACACACACATACACACACATGGTCTGTTCCCTGTTTAAGCTCAGAGCTTAAACAGGAGCTGCAGAGAGGGAAAGTCACATCCAACTTGGGAAAGAGAATAAGGTGGGGGCAATCTCAGGGTGTTTTGTCCCAACTGAGATCATGAAATACTCCTTAGAAAACAACATAGGCTGAATTGCAAGGATGAATGGAAGCTGAGTAGGACAGGACTTATGGAGAGGGAAAAAAGTGAGTAGAGAACAGGCAGGAGGAACAATAAAACAATAAGGGTTTTCACTTATTTTATACAAATTATTTACCTTTTCAATGTTAAGTCTATAGGGGAACATGTGAGTTCTTTATTTAGCTGCTTTAATTCCATTTTAATTTTAATTACGACTGGCCGCTATAATGAGTCTAAGGCGTTCAATTGACCAAGTCAATTCTGATCTTAATAGATACAAAGATAGCCTTCTCCATAATTGGTAAAAAGATCTCCAAACCTCCTATTGCATATGAAATTAACCTATTCTTCAAACTAAAATGTAAGTTGGGGATTGATTTTCACAAACAAGACCTTTTTCCTAATAAAAATATTTTACTTAACTTTGATTTTCACATTCCCAGAATATGTCCTATGGCTGAAATGTCAATTATTAAGATTTTGATATTTTATAATTCTTTTATTGTAGATAATCTGACTTGTGAAACTGTGGTCCTATGACAAACCCATTTTAGAACTTAGTGTCTGACTGAAAAACTCATCACCTCTAGTGTTTATCATCTTTTTCTCTTTTCAACATCAAAAGTGTAACTTTGCTTGCATTTGGGTGAATGTACAGTTGTTCCCACAGGAGCATCTTAATTTGTTCACCCTTTCTGAATTCACGTGTAATCTTCTAATCAGTATCTTAAGACACTTTTTACCCTTCTTTAATTTTTCCTTGATTTTATATGATGAGCGTGGCTTTTTTGATAGCAGCATGCACACTATAATCTCAAAACATATTTTTGAGTCAATGGATTTAAAGTATAATTTGATTTTATAGTTGGTGAACGTGGCTCAATTAACTTCACCAGGTGTATAGTTAGTTGATCTTGGGCTATATTTATAATCTTGTTGAAATTCAAGTAAGGAAATGGAGAAACTGATTTGCTACCTCCCATGTTTCAGCAAACATTCTCACTGGAATACTATCTAACAAATGTAGTAAACTTTGGGGAAAATACCGACATACAGTTCAGTTTCTGTAGTCTGGTGGAGTGGCAGGGTGCTTTTCACTTGCTTACTTGAAATCATCAATTTAGAATGCTTGGTTAAAGTGCCTTGTGGCCAGTAATCGTCATTTTAAATCAGGCTTCCATTAGAAAATTAAGTTCTAATGCCATAAACTATCCGTTGCTTATAATGAATTACCTGCCCTACAATTTGTCTCCAGTAGTACAAATTATAGACCATCCTTGGGAGAAGTGAGAAATAGTCACCTGAATGATTGTGTGAATTTTGTGGTTCACCTGAGGACTACTGGTTAAACAGCCTGGCTGATGGTAATGATGTGATTATAGGTTTATTCTCTGTCTGAGTAAAAGGACAGTCTCTCCTACCCTAAGAATACACGACACAACAAGGCCAGTCACTACATACATGCTATTTAATGGGTACCAACTCTGTTCTGGAAGATGGGTACTTCTCCCAAGTGAGAGATAAGAAAAACGAAGCTGACAGAATTGAGTAAATTGTAGCAGAACCTAGATTTGAATTCAGTTCTGCTACTGAAACCTTGTTTTACCTCTCTCCACTATGCTACTTCGCTACCACTGGCACATCTGGTCTTCACTGCTTCCAGGAAAGTTCTAGATGTTACACAATTTTAAGGAAGAAAGTTCACCAATGGGATCCCTTTGCTTTTTTACAGATTTTGATGTGATGTGGAAGATGACTTAACATACTAGAAGTATCTTACTGTAAGTCCAGCAATAGTCTAAATGAAGAAAGTGGCATTAAGGATGGGGAGAGAACGATTCAAGAAATATTTAGGTAGTAACTGACTGGGCAGTTGTGAGGTAGCTAAAGTGGTGGGAAAGCGAAGTTATAAATGACAACAAGTTAGCCTTCCTTACTGAAATAACTAAGAAATGTCCACCTTACTGAGGTCAATGGCATCTTCCAATGTGAAAGGTAGAATAAGTTACTTTTTTATATCAAAAACTCTATTCTT